CATGGCTTGTGTTACCGATCATTGGCTATTTGGCAGGCATTCTTCGAGACTAGGAATATTCTCCCACGAATATTGTAGAAGTTGCAGGGATGAGGAAGAGGAAGAAACCGTAGAGCACTTCTTCTGTAGCTGCCCAGCTCTGGCCAGGAGGAGAGCAGGCGTTTTAGGTAGGCCCTTCTTTAGCTCTCTTACGGAACTATCATGCGTAGGAATAAAGCAACCTAACCTAACCTAACCTAACCCTGAGGAATGTCACAAAACTGAATGCGAAGCAAATGTTGCCTAAAGGGCCACGCTGAGGTTGGGCGCAACGCGAGCTATGAAGAATGGATTTAGGGAGTTGAAAAGGGAAGCGTACTTTCCGCGATAAATTGGTTTGAGAACGTGTGTGGGAAGAACTTGACAAGCATAGTTTGGCACAGAAGATTACTTGGTCATCTCTCACTCATATCTCTTTACGGCCTTATAAAAAAATAAGTATATGTTTGAGAAATTTCCCTTTGTATTTCCATCAACACTACTTTCCTAAAGCAATGCTTCACATACTCAGGGTATTTTGCATTGATTGCGATTTTATAAATATTTTTTCTAGGCACACTGACGAAAAACATTAAATCGATTTTATAAGAATGTTGGATTTTTTGAGTTATGACGCTCTTGCAGAATTCGGGGATATGTGCCAAAAACCGGATGAAGGTCAAATTCGGTATACTTATGCATTTGCCTCTTACTTTCTTATATGATATTGCAGCTACATATCAATAGATCGCCAACCAGTGAGTATGGCCAGTTTACGGCAGTCACGTAAGTTGCACAAAACAATAAACGAGCAGCCAAATGTGGTGATGAAAGCAGCAGCAAGCTCAGATAAGGAGAACAATAAAAAAAAGAAAAGCAAGTAAACGAAACGATTAATCGAGGTGGCGTTTCTAGCAAGCCAAGCGAATTATTTTCGAAGAGCAGTGGATGAGCGATAAAAAAATGTTTTAAAGTAAAGAAAACATACACAAAAAGGGCAGAAATTAAAACGGTAGCAAGTGAAAGAGAGAAGCAGAGCAGGAAAAAAAGAAAGGTAAAATCAAAACAAACAAAAGTCAATTGCAGATAAAGCTATCGCTGTAACAAAGAAACAGAGCTTTGAGTTCAAAGCTCAAGTTGTGGCTTCAAGTGGTCATATGCGGAAGTTGATTTGAATGACTGCGTGAATTCGTACGATGGCGGCTGTGCTGTCAATTAGTCGCTGTTTGAGATGAAAGGCTGCAAGCTCTAAAAAAAAAATAAATACTAAAAAACAATCAGCTGAAACTGTTTGCTAAATGAAGCGTGGCAAATTAATGATTCGAAAATTGAGGTGGCATGCCAAGGAAATCCAAAAATGAGTTGGTACTTAAGTAGGATATGGGGTTTTTGGTGAATTTATGATTATCGTAGTATGATTTTTCTTCATGTTTGGCGTTGTAACCATAGAGGTTTTCACCGAGTCCAGCAATGCATGCCATTCGTTGCTTCCCCCTTTCTCTGCTACGAATTAGCAGGGCTGGAGCGTTTGTGTCCGCTGCATTGTAAACCGCTGCGCTATTTAAATATGTATATGTCCGTATATATTTCGTTGTAAATATTATGCAGTTCAAATCTCTGCCGTCGTCGACTTGAAAAGGCCCATAGATCATCCGAAGAATAAATACTTTTCTCGTACGCTGCTAGTACCGCCTGATCGGATGTGTTCATTGTCTGTAATTTATTGAGAGTGATTTTTATACGATCAGAGATACTACGTTTTGTTCGTGTTCACCTCCAGACCTAATCGCTTAGATGCCAGATCCAACTAGGAAAAGGGAGAACAAGCCTAGTGCTTCGGCATATGCTAGTTTAACTGTACGCTCTTAGAAAGTGTTGTACTTGAGCAATCCAGTTCTGCAGTTCTTATATTATAATCTTCTTCAGCACCAGAGTAGAGAGCAGTCGCATGGAAGAGAGTCATCCTGTCTGAAATCACGTTTGGTATCGAACGGTTCGGATAATTTCTCCTGAATTCTGATGGAGCTATTAGACATCATGTCGTAAAGGGTAACTAATTTTTGTGAGCCACACTTTTAGAGCTTTGAAAGTTCGCTGATGTTGGGTTTAGGCCTTTCACACAACTTACTTATATGCAACGTTTAAGAAGCTGACTCCGCCTTGATTTCAGGTGTTTATGAATAAATTCTTTGAATAAGCAAAAAACATTTATTATAATCACTTATAGATTTGCATAGATAAAAGGTAGAAATTAGTTGTTGCAGTAGTATTCGAAAGTAGTAGGAATCTGTGACTGCTGAAAGCTTTACACTCGTGGGTAGTCCAAGTATTTGGCTAGCTCTTCAGCTCGGCAGTTACCTTCAACAACTTTGAGTCTGGGGATCTTTGACTTACCTCCCTATTTCTTCCTTACAATATACATATCGAGCCCTAACCGCCAAAATAACGTAAGCGACATTTTTTTCGAAATTTTATTTTTGATGCAGAAATGCATCTAGATGCTTTAGGAATATTTCTGCATCAAAAAAAAAAATTAAAAAAAAAATGTCGCTTACGTTATTTTGGCGGTTAGGGCTCGATATGTATTTACGATGGCACATGCAATAGGAAGTACTTATGCATATGAAATTAAAGTCTTAATGGATGGGGGAGTTTCAATATATGTACACTGGGATGGTCATTATAATCAAATGAATGAGTCGCACCACGGTCAAAGATATCACATATGCAATTTTGGATTTGATTGGAGTTGGTTAAGGCGTGCCGCACAGGGGAAAAGTTCAGATTCCGCAATTTAATTTTTTATCTCATCCAATACTGAAAATCGTTGTTACTACATTCTAAAAAGTGCACGTAAAACTACTACTCAAAAGTGTTTACTTTTCAACCAGAATAAAAATAAATATACGCACAAGATGTTTATGATTGGTTTTGAACATGAGATGTTTAAAGAATACACATAAATATACACACGTAATGTTTAAAATTGTAAAAATTTTGAAAGTAAAATTACACTTTTTACGAATAATAGATATTAAGTGCTCATATTTACTAAATTATAAACATTTTATGTGTAT